ACTGTCCCTCAGCTCTTCAGCTCAAGGCTAGCACTCTACCACTTGAGCCACAGCGCCACTTCTGGCTTTTTTCTTTTTGCTTATGTGGTGCTGAGGGATTGAACCCAGGGCCTCAGGCATGCAAGGCAAGTGCTCTACCACTGAGCCACCTTCCCAGCCCTCTGGTGATAATTAGTGTCTCATGGACTTTCCTGCCCAGTCTGGCTTTGAACAGCAATCCTCAGATCTCAGCCTCCTAAGTAGCTAGGATTGTGGACTTGAGCCACAACTATACTTTTGGCTTTTTTTGTTTGTTTGTTTGTTTGTTTCTAATTGGAAATAAAAGTCTTAAAGACTCACTGCCCAGGCTAGCTTTGAACTGTGGTCTGCAAATCTCAGACTTTTTGAGTTGCTAGGATTACAAGTGTGTGCTACCTTCATCCAGCTGGATATTTTCTTTAAGAATTGGTGTGTAGGGCTGGGAAGGTGGCTCAGTGGTAGAGTGCTTACCTTGCATGCATGAGGCCCTGGGTTTGATTCCCCAGCACCACATATGCAAAAAGAAAAAAAGCCAGAAGTGGCACTGTGGCTCAAGTGGTACAGTGCTAGCCTTGAGCTGAAGAGCTGAGGGACAGTGCCCAGGCCCAGAGTTCAGGCACCGCCACCAGACCCAAAAAAAATAAAAATAAAAAAAATAAGAATTGGTGTGTAGAGGCTGGGAAGGTGGCTCAGTGGTAGAGCGCTTGCCTTGCATGCATGAGGCCCTGGGTTTAATTCCTCAGCACCACATAAGCAAAAAGAAAAAAGTCGGAAGTAGCGCTGTGGCTCAAGTGGTAGAGCACTAGCCTTGAGCTGAAGAGCTGAGGGACAACGCCCAGGCCCAGAATTCAGGCCTCACGACCGGACCCAAAAATAAATAAATAAATAAGAAAGAATTGGTGTGTACAAATTACAAAATTCAGAATAGTACTAGAAGCTAAATGATAAATAAGGAAGGGTATGTCTGTGAAAAGGGATTTTTTTTTAGAAGTATAATGAAGTTGCCTTGATATCCTACTACTTTTTAAAATATTACCATGGCATCTTTATTTTTTCCAGCGGGAGAAATGCTGTCTGTGGCTGAGCATTTCCTAGAGCAGCAGATGCACCCAACAGTGGTGATCAGTGCTTACCGCATGGCACTGGATGATATGATCAGCACTCTAAAGAAAATCAGGTATGCGATGGTCAGATATGGATAGTAGTAGACATGGGAGACTAGAAAACTAACTGATCTCTTCTTAGGTAAGAAAGAAAAGACAAGCCAGGCACCAGTGGCTCACACCTGTAATCCTATCTACTCAGGGAGAGAAAGCCAGCCTGGGCAGGAAAGTCCATGACTCTCTATCTCCAATTAATCATCAGAAAACCAGAAGTGATGTTGTAGCTCAAGTGGTAGAGCCTTTGCCTTGAGCTGAAGAGTTGAGGGACAGTGCCCAGGCTGAGTTCAAGCCCCATGACTGACTCCCCCGCTCCCCCACCCCCCAAAAAAAAGGAAAAGCCAAGTATGTCTCTCACATGTGGTTTTAGACTCCAGTACCATTTTGTGAGATATGAAAGCAAAATGAGAAAGGAAATAAAAGTTTTAGAGTGTGTAATTATAGCTGCTTAGAGGAGGTTGAGATCTGAGATCTAAGTTCAAAGCCAGCCTGGGCAAGAAAGTCAGACTTTTTCTCCAATTAACTACCATAAAAGCCAGAAGTAGGAGCTGTGACTCAACTGGTAAAGCGCTAGCCTTGGTCATAAAGAAGGTCAGGGATGTAGCCCAGATCCTCAGTTCAGCCCCCAGGACTGACACCAGAAAAAAAAAAAAACAGCATTTAGAAATGGAAGACTGGAGCTGGGCACCAATGGCTCACGCCTGTAATCCTAGCTACTCAGGAGGCTGAGATTTGAGGATCACCATTCAAAGCCAGCCCAGGCAGGAAAGGCTGTGAGACTCTAGGAAACTGGAAGTGGTGCTGTGGTTCAACTGGTAGAGAAAGATTCTAAGTAGAGAAATATAAAATGACGTATAATTCTTCAAGATGTATTTTTAGGTGCATACTGCTTGGTTTTGTTTTTTGTTTTTGTTTTTGTTTTTGTTTTTGTAGGTCATGGGGCTTGAACTTAGGGCCTGGGCACTGTCCCTGAGCTTTTTGGCTCAAGACTAGCACTCTTGCCATTTGAGCCACAGCACCACTTCAGGTTTTCAGCATTTCATTTCCAATCATGAAAAGCACCAAGACTGAAAATGTTTGGATTTAGTGCTTGGAGACCTTGATTTTGGTGTATATTTGCTTAATGTCAATAGGCTAAAGAAGGGTATGTAAAAATGCATGACTTCACAGAAGTTTAATTGTGATACACTATATAGAATCATGAAAAACAGTATTAGAAGTTAATTTTTTTTATCATTTAAAAAGTAAGTCCTGGGGCAGGGAGTATGGCTTAGTGGTGCTTGCCTAGCATGCATGAAGCCCTTGGTTGATTCCTCAGTACCACATAAAATAAATGGAAGAAATAATATAATCCTATTTAGGAAGTTGATCTTGAGGATAGATGTAAAGTCCACAAATCTTCCATCTCTATAATAAACAGCAAAAGTCAGGATAGGACTAGGGGCATGGATCAAGTAGTAGAGTGCCAGCAAAGCAAGCCAAGCAAGGATGAGGTCTTGAGTTCAAAACATTGACCTCAATAGCACCTTATTGTGTTGTTTTGTTCTTTATATGATTGAGTCATTGGATACATAAGTAATTTAGTGAACTTTGTACTACCTACTGTTAAGCAGGTGTGTAATGAATATGTGGAGCTTGTTAGAAAACTTTTTATTAATAGGCGGCTGAATCTAGGGTCTCATATACAAGCTCTCTACCACTTGAGCTATACTCTATCCTGATGGCAGTTACAGGATTGGAATTCGTACTACAACACTTGAGCCAGGCACTTAGCTTAGCCTTTATCTTTGTTTGTTTTTTTGTTTTATTTTTGTTTTTGGGTCCGGTCGTGGGGCCTGAACTCTAGGCCTGGGCGCTGTCCCTTAGCTCTTCAGCTCAAGGCTAGCGCTCTACCACTTGAGCCACAGCGCCACTTCCGGCTTTTTTCTTTTTGCTTATGTGGTGCTGAGGAATCAAACCCAGGGCCTCATGCATGCAAGGCAAGCGCTCTACCACTGAGCCACCTTCCCAGCCCCATCTTTGTTTTGTTTTTTGTTCAGTCATGGGGCTTGAACTCGGCCTGAGTGCTGTCCCTCAGCTCTTCAGCTCAAGGGGAGCACTCTACCACTTGTGCTACAGCTCCACTTCCGGTTTTCTGGTGGTTTATTGGAGATAGGAGTCTCACGGTCTCTCCTTCCCGGGCTGGCTTTGAACCGCGATCCTCAGATCTCAGCCTCCTGAGTAGCTAGGATTATAGGCATGAGCCACTGGCACCTGGCTTAAACTTTGTTTTTAAGATAGACTTGATAACTGTCCGGGCAGGTCTAGAACTTAGGATCTTCCTGTCTCCTGTCTCTTCCTTTTTCCTTCTGGAATTTCATGTGTGCACAACCACAACTGGCTGAAACAAGCAATGACTGCCTACTAAAAATACTGTGTGTGTGTGTGTGCGTGCGCGCGCGCTCAGTCTCATACTCTTGTTTGGTTTTTTGGCTCAAGGCCTGCCTTCTCCCACCTGAGCCACATTTCTACATCCAGCTTTTTGCTGGCAGTGAAGATAAAGAGAGATAAAGTGTCTCGGGTTTATTTGTCCAGCCTGGCTTCGAACCACTAAGTCCTTAGGTCTTAGCCTCTTGAGTAGCTAGGATTACTCAGGAGGTGGAGGTTTGAGGATCATAGTTAAAGCTAGCCCAGGCAGGAGAATCTGTGAGATTCTTATCTCTGTAAAACCAAAAATAGTGCTCTGGCACAAAGTGGTAGAGTACTAGCCTTGAGCACAAAAGCCCTAAGTTCAGGACGTGGCATGCACACGTGCACAGACACACATAAAACCAGTTATAGAGCTGTGTTCTGAGTAGTTTTATAGTGCACAAAGAGCTTATTTGGTTGAAGCAGAAGGTAAGAAACAAATTATTTTTGCTGTAAACTTTGTATCTTTCTGAAAAGAAAAGAGACAGGATTTACCTCTTGATGTCCCTTTTAGTATCCCACAAAGGAACACTCTCATTTGCCTCTTAGACCATTGTTAGTACAGAATATTATAGAAGAGACTTGGTTAAATGTCTTAAGTTGCCAGCTGAATATATTACCCGGCTTTGTGTTCTCCAGCACCCCTGTTGATGTTAATAACCGTGAGATGATGCTGAACATCATCAATAGTTCAATTACTACTAAAGTAATCAGTCGGTGGTCTTCTTTGGCTTGCAACATTGCCTTGGATGCTGTCAAGACTGTACAGTTTGAGGAAAATGGCCGGAAGGAGATTGACATCAAGAAATACGCAAGAGTGGAAAAGGTAAATTGGTCTAATGCGTACTTTTAGAATGAATTATTTTCTGGTGTGAATTATTCCATTTGTGAAGGAAATAAGTTGGGGCAAGATGTCTTTAATAGGAACTAGGAAAAGCTGGGCACTGGTGGCTCACACCTGTAATCCTAGCTCCTCAGGCTACTGAGATCTGAGGATCATGATTTGAAGCTAGTACAAGCAGGGAAGTCTGTGAGGTGTTTTTTGGGTTTTTTTGTTGTTGTTGTTTTTGTCATTCCTTGGGCTTGATCTCAAGGCCTGGGCACTGTCCTTGAGTTTGTTTTACTCAAGGCTAGCATTCTACCACTTGAGCCACGGTGCCATTTCCAGCTTTTTCTGTTTATGTGGTGCTGAGGAATCGAACCCAGGGCCTCGTGCATGGAAGAGAATTCTACCACTGAGCTACCTTCCCAGCCCTTAAATTTTTTTAAAGATAACTGGATTTCTGTGGGCTTCAGCTGACTCTCAGATTGTCATGACCCAAGATTACCTTGAGGAACAAAGTATTAGCAATTACTTTTGAGTTCAATGAAAGAAGTCACTGTAGAAACTTAAAGTAATTTTGTTTTGCTTTTTGTAGTACTGGCAGTAAGTAGTTTTGAATTCATGAAATAAGTGCCCATAGTCTGTTTTATCCTCTTGGTTGTAGATTAAAGTGGGTCTTTTTTTTGTTCAGATACCTGGGGGCATCATTGAAGACTCTTGTGTCTTACGAGGAGTCATGATTAACAAGGATGTGACCCATCCACGAATGAGGCGCTATATCAAGAACCCTCGTATTGTGCTGCTGGATTCTTCTTTGGAGTACAAGAAAGGAGAAAGCCAGGTAAGATTTCTATCACTGTTCCTTAAAGTGGAATCTGATATTTACAAGGACAAAAGAGATGAGAATTAGTGTTATTTACATAAATACTACTGACTTAACATTTCTTGAAAAGCACTGGTAATGTTTTATAGATGAGTCTGAAGGTCAAGAGGGAAGAAAATTAGTTCTGCATTTGTTAAAATTGAATCAAATAGCCGGGTGTGGGGTCACGTGCCAGAAGTCTTAGGTACTTAGTCTACTGACACATTATAACAATTTAAAACCATCATAATGAGACCTTCATCTTGAGAAGAAAAGCAAAATAAGTATTCATCTTTCTCTCTGCTTGATCTGGTATCTTGTTTTGGTACCCTCCTTTCATTGGCTTTGAGATTCAATTAACCTGTTAGACTGGGGATACCAGTGGCTCATGGCTATAATATTAGCTTAGGCTGAGGCCTGGAGAATTATGGTTTGAGGTCAGCTCAGGCAGACAAATCTGAGAGATTCCTGTCTCCAGTTAACCAGAAAAAGGCTGAAAGTGGAGCCTTATCTCAAGTGGTAGAATGCCAGTATGAGCAAAAGAGCATAGCCTGTTGGTTTATTTACTTAAGAAACCAGCCCAAAGCCGGGCGCTGGTGGCTCACGCCTGTAATCCTAGCTACTCAGGAGGCTGAGATCTGAGGATCACAGTTCAAAGCCAGCCCGGGCAGGAGAGAC